GCATCCCAGAAATTGAAATTGGTCTGTATTTCCCAAATTCAGGGCCATTCAAACAACACCTGCAGACCCTGCCGTGTCTCCGTTTCACGTTCCTGTTCACAGCTTGATACTTTCCTTTGGGTAATCTTGAAATCAACTCCATTGAAAGCCTCAGAGTAAACAATGATATCCATGTACTCAAGGAATTTGCTGTGCTGGATGTAGATTTTTCTAGTGCATGTTAAAATAATACTCAAATCATCTTGCACGCCATCAGTGATATGTACAAGCCATTTTAAGAAATGTTGGATTAAATATAGACCCAGCTAGTTCTAAAATCTTCTCAGCTGCAGTTATATAATTTGCATTCGGCCATTTAACTTTGTGTGTTTCTTTATATTTTTTCGACTCCTTCACGGGACACTGTGGCTTTTTTCTTTGGGTGCATAGCACTTTTCTAGCACATAGAAGTGTTTGATAAATCATTTACTTTTAAATTATAAATATAGGATGCATACATTCATATATATATATATGAATGATATATCTATCACTTACTAACTCCCCATCCAGTAGCAAAATGCACATTTTTCTCCACAACAGTTCCCATCCCTGTTTTCCTGGGATGTTGGTCGCCGAATGAGCTGAAACATGTAGAGTCCCAGGCCTTGAGAAGGCACTCAGGAAATGCTACCTTTCCTGACCCCCTTCTCTCTTCCTGTGCCCCTTTGTTGGTGAGTAGCTGTGTGTCCGTGGGAAAAGTGAGCCACTTCCTAAGGAGCATATAACTCAGGCTATTGTTGGGCCAGAATAATTGCCGTCCTCAATGTCAGCCCTACAAGGTTGCATTCCCAAGCCAGAAACATCTACTCTAAGAAAGAAAGAAAGAAAAAAAAAAACTGTATTTCTAAATACTATAGTGGAAGACATCTTGAGAAACTGTCTGGTGACTTATTAAAAAACTCATCAGTGAAAAATGTAACGTACGAGAACAATATCGCTGCATGATTCTGGGTTCACAGCTTAAGCATTTTCTCAACCAACCAACCTAGATTCGGCACCTTTGTGAATGCCTTCTGTGTCCCTGACACTGGGAGACACAAACCTGAGTGAGAGCATCCAGCTGTGGAGAGATTAGAAGACTGTGAGCTTCTCCAAGCAAGAATACTGTCTTGTTCATCTTCCTATCCCCTGGGCCTGAGCAAAGCTGTCACTCATGCAGTAAGCAGATCTCAAATATTTGTTCCATGACTGAATGAATGAGTAACACCAGTCCAGCCCTTAAGGATCTTACAGTCTAAAAAGAGAGACATCATAGGGGCAAATGAAAGGTTAATTAACAGTGAGCTTGCTGGGTGTGGTGGCACATGCCTGTAATCCCATTACTCGGGAGGCTGAGGCAGGAGAATAACGTGAATTCGAGGCCAGCCGGAGCTGCATAGTGAGACTCTGTCTAAAAAAAAAATGAGTTTAAGAGACAACACAGGGTATTGGAAAGGTTAACATATTCCAGCCCAGCTTGAACCACCAGAGGTACATGCACAACTGTCCCATCAGGCAGCTTGTACCACCTGATGGGTCTGTCCCATGCCACACAATGGGACAGTCACGCATGTACCACCCGTGGTTCAGAGCCACCCAGCAGGGAGACATAAGAATTACAACCCCATCGTGGACCTGTCAAATGAAGGGAGCACCCAGTGTTGATGCAGTGGCAGATCCCACAAAAGAATGTGTGTTGAACTTTTCTGTACTATTTTCTACGCGTGAGCCTGGCTTTGGAGAGAAGCGGCTACATCACTGTCATGTGACTAGTTTCTTCAGGCCACCGACTTTATAGGTTCCCGGGAGTGGCCAGGGTATTATTTAATGTAAATAAATCAGTGGGTGTTTATCTTTCCAGCTACAACCACAGGCAAAGAGAGAAAGGCTATGACGAGAGCCCTGTGGCTGGAGTACAGGAGAGATGCCGGGAGCCTGTCGTGAATGATTTCGTAGGCTCAGAGGCAGGATGACTCCCCAGTAGGAAGCGGCCTCCCGTGTGACTTGCTGGAGAAAGGCACTCGGCCTCCTGGGCAGCTCTCTCGGTTTCCAAGCCACCAGCACAAAAATAGAAGCTCAGATCAATGCTCTGTATTATTCATTAGTTATCAAAATTCTCTCCCCAAATATACCTTTAGCTGGAAGATGTCGTCTTCCATAGTTTTAAACCATTTTTAGTTCAGAAGCAGACCAGATATTTTGTTGAGCACATAGAACACCAGCCTCAAAACCCTAATTAATTGGAACAAATAACATTTCCATTAAAATTCTTTTTGAAAAACGATTTATGCTCCTAGCCAATACAAATTTCAAACAGTGCAAAGCAGTGTGGAGTGGAAAGTGAATTTCTACAGAGCTATGGAAGCCAGGCTTCCAGTCTCTTCCACACAGACCTCTTCTGTTAAATTTCCTGGGCATCCACCTGGAAATAGTCTCTGCATATGTAGACATATTTCCTATGTATTCCTCTCCCCTTCCACGTACTCTTATGTTCCTAGCCAAATTTAACACATACCTTAGGGCTTGCTACAGATCTACACAGCTGCACTATATCCCATAACATAAATGTCCTGTCATTTACTGAGCACCTTTTCTGATAGGCACAGTGGTGATTACCCAACTTTGACTCCCATAAACCCACTTTTGCACGTATGTATGAGTAGGACTGCGCAACCAATTCCAATATCCTTAAAAGGAAATTGCCGACTCAAAGACACGTGAATTTGAACTCTGTTAGGCACTGCCAAATGATGACACCTGAGCTTTGATGAAAATTTCCAAAACTAAAATATTTCTTCATGCCAGAAACAGAAATGCCTGACAATAACATTTTATTGTAAACTCTAATGCCTTAGGCAAGGAAGCAGTACACTTATTTAGGAAAGTCATTTGTCAGTATCTTGCCCACTTAAAAGCACATACATACACATTGTCATAAACCCACCCAAGATACACTGTGACAACGTCACTGAAGGAGGAACTTGCCAGAACTTCCTTACCACCAACTGCATGCACCCTTGTTGCAATAGGGTTAGCTCAGTAATGCATTTGTGCAGTCAGTCAGCAGCACAGCCCTATTTTTCTTTCGAAACTAGAGATCAGCTTGTGACCCTGTCTGGCCCTCCCTCTTCCACACCCAGGCAGCCATTTCTTCTCCTCATGGTTCCCTCACACAAGCAGCTGGCCTGAAAGTGTCAGGTCACACTGATTAGTTGGTGAGGAGGACCTGGGCGTAGCAGAACTTTGATTTCGTTTGTTATCACCTGTGGGGTGAGTGAGGGAACAAAGAGCCATGAAGCATTCAGCCGCCATTTCCCTGACTGATTCCTTCTATTTTAATACAGTGGAGATCTAGAACATTCACCAGTGTCTCCAGTGTTTACCCAGTACACTCTGCCACATTCCCTAGTTGGGCCTTCTTTCCTGTTTGCTCTTGTAACATGAGAAACACTGTGGAGGTTTCACATGTTTGTTTTGTACCCAACTGTAACCATTTTCTTCTCTCTGCCTCTGACTGCAAACACATTACCTTCCTAGTAACCATTAAAAATCTGTATCTGGTTGCCTGGGTGACAACCAATTAAATAACTATTCTGCTTAGGTTTAGAATGGGTTGTAGATATAAGAAGATGGCTTAAATCCTACTTAAAATATTTTTTAGTTCCATGAATCCATGATGCAGTTTCTGTAATATGAGTAATCAAGAAACTTCATTTTTACATTTATCTCAAAATCATTCTCAAAGAACCAGAGACTGAGGGAAAAAAGAAAAAGATTTAGACACAAGGAAGCTGTTTCAATATCCCCTGCTGTGATCCATTTAAGTTCCTTAGCCTAGATAGCCCTACTCTCTCAAGGAGAAATGGAAAAAAACAGATCTTCCATTTAAAAATAAAAGTGAAAACAAGGAGCAAAGCATGCTACGTTGGCAGTGTTGGGGACTCATGGGTCAGTGCCCTTCCCAGGGGTGCGTTAGGAAGTCAGTGCTATTAGTTTTGGTCCTGCCATAAGAAGTCACCAGAAAGCTGGACTGCAGACCTAGGAAAATAGGGTAAGGGTGAACAGCCAGTGGAAGCCACCATGCTATTCCAGACCAGGTGAAAAAGCTTGAAAGTAAAACTCCTGACTGAATCCTGCACAGCAGTAAGGGTAATTCCTCACTATAGGTGCTTGCACCATGGACTCCTTTATTGAGTTCCCTGTCTTTTTACTCAACAGACAGGTGTTGGGAACAATTTATGTCCCAGATTTTTACCTAGGGATTGCACAAAGACTAAAAAATCATTGACCCTGCCCCATAGTGGGCACACATTAAATATTTTCTTGTTGAATCAGTGAATCAGTGAATGCATTTATAAATGAATGAAGCTTAAAGTTTAGGGGAGAAAATACAGGTTTAATTTTCTATTACCTATGGGGGTGGTGATATGTACTGAGTACATCGTGCGAGTGACTCCCCTCCCCGGGGTAGTAGAGAAAGGGGTTAGGCTTGTGGTAAAATTGAACAGATCATCGTCAGATGAATGGGAGAGGAAGAAGTGTTTAATGTGGATAAATGAAAGATACAGCAAGAGCAAAGGCCTGAAGCAAAGATCTGCAGACTACAGTGCCACGGACCAAATTCAGCCTGCCAACTACTTTCATAAATAAAGTGTTATTTTAACACAGCCATGCTCGCTTATTTGCATTTTGTCCATAGTGCTTTCAGGCTACAACAGTGCACTGAGTTGTTGCACCAGACGTGACATAGAAAATCAAAACAACTTTCCACCTGGCCCTCTCCTGAAAGTGCCTGCCAGCTCCAGGCCTAGGGTACAAAAGAGCTGGAGAGTCGTAGACTTGCAGAGAAGGCCCCGGTACTTGTGGCTCACCAGGGCCTCAGGGAGACAGGAAAGTGAACAAGAGCCAGACCCCAAAGACGTCTAGGCCGTGCTAAGGAATGTGGTCTTGTTCCTTCAGGAAATGGATAACGAGAGCAGTTCTGCATTAGTCTTGGCATCAGGATAGATCGGAGAGATGTGAAATTTGGACGGCAGACCAGCCCTCCAAAGCTTACCATCCCAAACCCCTAGATCCAATAAACATCGAAGAGCTTTGTCATTAGCACCTTGCTCTGTGCTCAGGAAACAGAGATAATCAATCCATATTGGTTGAATAAAGGCATTAAAGAAACAACGAAAACAAATATTTTAGCAGCACCAATGTTAAAAGTTTCCCTGAACAGATGGCTCCTGCTTTGAGACAAACAGCTGAGATTTCTGTGGGTTTCTGGTTTCCATCTAGCAGGCACTGAGATCCAGGCACGAGCAGGTTAATGGTGGAATACAAGCCAGACAGAATTCCTCTCCTTCCTCTCCAGGGCCAACCAGCACCATCAAATACCAGTCTCTGGCCTGAGTGTCTTGCATGCCCTGCGGCCTAATGGGAAAGAATAGGACAAAAAGCAACCCTGCTAATAACTGTCATAAAAATAATATCACCTGGCCCTGTGTGGCATCTTTTGCTGGAAGATCTTGAATCATCTTTTCTCTGCATAATTATTATTTCCAGTTTTATTTCCACTCAAGGAGAAGCCAAACCAGACAGAGAGGTTGTGACTTGCCCAAGGTCACTGAGAAAGCCAGAAAAGCAGTTTTTAAAAGCTGAAAAAGAGATCAGAATGTGTGAAACCCAGCTTCCCTCCCAGTCTGCAATGGGCTGGGTTCATGACTCAGAAAATAACACAGCATTATTCAGGTTCAGTGTCTCTTTAAAAATGAGTCACACCAGCAGAGACTCTGGGCACACGAGTCTGCCAGACGCATGTTTTTAGTGGTCACACATCATCCTGCTCAATGTATTTTAGCACCTGTCACCAAACCCCCTCACAGACAGGCTTCTTTGAAAGTCCTGCCTGTAGCCATGGAGGGTCTGGCTTGGAGGTGTCTGTCCTTCCTGGCCCCTTTCCCAACTGTCGGTACTTATGAACTTCCAGGTCCTGTGTTCATCAGGAACTTACAGCTAGGACAGCTACAGCTTCCAGTAGGTCTGGTATTCCCCCTTTTTCCCAACATCATTATGAATAAATCCTTCCTTTACTCTAAAAAGGAAGGTCGCAGTTTGGACCATCAGGTGACTATAGGCTCACTCTAGTTCTCACAAATCAGGAGGGATCATTGCTGAACCCAAAAGCACCCTTTCCTCATCACTGTTCTGTCCCAGCCACCGCTGTTTCACAGACCAGGGAACTTGAACGTGCAAAGTTCCCAGTTCCTGGCCAGTTCAGGGAGCACTCTGAGAGGTAATCCAGGCTCTGCACAAGTGTTCCAGTCACAGACGGAGTTTGCTGTGTCACCTGTGTAACACCTGATCACTAGTTGTTAGAAAACACATTCTCTTCTTGTTCCAAAACCTGCCCTCCATTTCTCCCATATATTGATTCTAGTGCTGGTCTCAAGCAACTGAAATCAATCCTCTGTCCTGTTCCTAAGAGAACTCTCCAGCCCACCAAGCATCGGGAATGGTCTTTAGGGGTGTGGCTTGGGAATCACACAGCCCTAGATTCTGGTCCAGGCTCAGTCATTCCCTAGCTAGGTGAACTTTGGTGAACACTTGTCTAATTTTCATTTCCTTCTCTGTAATTTTTGAACTAATAGTCACTACTTAAGGTAGGCATTATTAGTTACGTAGCCAGTAGCCGGTGTACTAACCACGTTGTTCATTTCAACACTCTCGGATTTCCCAATGCCATCACAGCTAGATGTGATCATGAAACACATTTCCGGACAATGAATCGTGAGTTCGGAGACAGCTTGTTAGAGGGCATATATTCAGCTTATTGTCACCTTTAGAGTTTTTGACATGTAACTTTGCTGTGCTTCTTACTTTCTGCCTAAAAGTCCATTGTGAAGCATGACATGGAACAGCTTACTGAAAATATGAATAAGAAAGCCATCATCAAAGAAACCTGGGTTCCTGGTGGCATGGAGGAAGGAGGAGGAAGATACTTGCCCTGAAGTGCTTACAGCTGGGCTTCTTGTTATACAAAAAAATGAATAAATCCCTCAAGTGGTTAAAACATTGAATTTGGGGTTTTGCTACCTGTACTAAAACCAATCCTAAAATGAAATGTAGCAGAGAATTGTTGTGAACAAAAAATGAGCGCACTATGGTGACCAGCACAGGGAATGTCTACTATTACCACTATCATGACAATGATGATGAAGATGAGAAGTCATTGCCATGGGCCTTAGAGACAAGGACAGGAGCTACACTAATCCTTCTGGTCTCTAAAAGCACTGGAACAAAAATACCCATGACCTGTCAAGTGCACACACGCACCAGTCAGTTTCAGATGTTTGAACAATTACGTCTCTATCAGTGACTAATGAAGCCACTTTATGAAAGCACAAGCTCTCAGAAGCCCAGAGAAATGAAATCCCACCTGGCTAGCAAGTCAGGCAGCAAGCTCTTCCCTGCTGTGAAGGCATCTGGTTTCCTTTCCGGACAGGGAATCCATCCACATTGAGTAGCGGATTTCCTGGAAGTAGCGTCTTGTCTGAATAACAAGCAAAGCACAATACTTTAAGGATGTCGTTATTTCATGAGAACAGAGTTTCTGCTGAGAAGCCAGAGACACACCTAAAACCAGCTGACCACAGGAGCACATGTTTAAACACAGTGCTGGAAAGTGTAATTAGCTTCCTACAACCTAACTGAGCCAGCGGCAGGGATCAGATGGGAATGGCTTTGCATTCTTACCTAGCGTCCAGCAGGGCACCATGGCATCCATCCCGCCTCCACCCATCCCGGCTCTGAGTGGCAGATATGAATAATGGTGCAGTGAAAACTCACCCAACCAACCTGGGGGTTGTAGAATTAAATACCTGGGAATCAAATCTCAGGGAGTCATTTCAAGCTGAGCAATGTTGGGCCAACGATTTTCCCTCTCTGAGCAGCAGGTTTTGCATCTGCCGAACAGAGATGGGAATGTTCATCTCCCAAGTTTGTGGGAGACCAGAAGAGACTGTGTATGTTTTCCCTTCCTTTCCTGTCGCACAGTGGCCCTGACTGGCTTGCTTTATCCCTTCCGCAGTCTAAGGCGTGAACCCAGCTCAGGTCACCGCCAGCAACTGTAGCTCTCCACCTTTCTCCCTGTGCGTCACCATCTAAGTTTTTGGGCCACACTTGGGAAGCCAAAGCCTTCCCCGAAGCTGAGGTCATAGGGTAGAAAAAGGCAAAGCTCTGCTTTCTGGGAGCAGGTTTGGTTGGTGTGGGGGCAAAGCCACTCTGTGGGGCCAACTTGCCTTTGGTCTGGGGGTCCCCAGCAAGCCCAGCAGGAGAGGACGGGCCCACCCACTGTGGCCTGGACCACGAGCAGAGGAGCTGTAAGCTGCTCTCCGAAGGCTCCCTGTGGCCTGGACACAGCACCCTGAGTCCCCAGCCTCATGGAGGAGGAAATGTGAGAGTCACAAGATTCGCACCTCAGGCCGTGAAACATAATCTTCTTGCTCCATCACCTGGCAGGTGTCCTTGGCATTGCTTCCCTAGCTACAGTGATGCATGTCGCATATTCCTCACTCTGTGTCATGGGAATGGCGTTATCATTTTCCTACATTTTTAACCTCTGTTGTATCCAGGCGCATTTATCAAACAGGGTTTGTGGCTATCGACACTGGCTAGATATTTGTACATACATTTTTCTATAGCTCCCTGAGCAAGCAACATAAAACCATGCAGAAATCAGAAATTCAGGATCCATGTACCATGCCTTGCCACAAAATGTCCTTTGTCACTGAGGAGAATAGGTAAACTAGTAACCGAACAGGTAAACAGAAAGTATTAACTGTACAGCAGGCTCTGTGCCAAGCACTTTCTGCTATTATTGTTATTCCTGTTTAACACACACAAAAAGAAAAACATAACACCTGAGGCTTCTTGGTATATTCTGAATATTAATCCCTTGTAGGATTGGATATAAATCTTTTCTTATTCTGTCACCTTTTTGTTAACACGGCTCATGGTCCTTGAACAGAAATTCTTAATTTTTAAAATGTAGTCTAATCTAATTTTCAACTTATGCCATGAGCGTCAAGGACCTTCTGTAACACCTCCTTCTATACTTCCATAACTTTGCTTCGACACTGAGTTTCCCTTCTGTATATCCTTGAGATAGTGAACCAACCTAGTTTCCTTCCCATACAGCCAACCTTCCATAAAGGCAGATTCCAAATCTGCAGATTCAACCAACCACAAATCGAAAATATTTGAAAACAAATTGTGACTACACTAAACATGTACAAGCTTATTTTTCTTGCTATTGTTCCCCCCAAAAGTATGACAACTATGTACAATGTTTGCATTGTGCTAGGTATTATAATAATCTAGAGATGGCTTAAAGTATACGGGAGATAGGCATAGATTGTACAAAAATATGACACCGTTTGATAGAAAGGACTTGAGCATACTGAAGGTGACTATAACGAACTGTCTCCCTACTTACCAATTAATGGGCTTTAGACAAATCCATCCTTTCTCTGCTGAGTCATCATGACATGTTTATCTCAAAACAGGTTCCCCTACAGACTTGGGTCTGTTTCTGACTCTGGGTCCTTTTGCAGGTCCATTTGACGATACATCTGTTCAAAACTAGTTTATCTGGGAGGCCGAGTCCCTCCACTTTGTCCTTCCTTTTCAAAGAGACATAAGCATCATATATTGGGCATGTCCAACCTGTGGGCCACACCTGTAAAAGTATTTTTACAATAGAAAGTTTTGTTATTTTCCTACATTAACTACATATCATACATCTTTTTTTGTGTAGCCCAAAACAAATCCTCTTCACTCAGTGTGGCCCAGGCAAAATAGTTAGACATTCCTCATATAAATTAGCAGGAGTATGTTGAAGTCCTCAAAAAAAGAAAAGAAAAGAAACTTGCTGTGATTTTTTTCAGAAATTACATTGAATGTGTAGGTAAATTTTGAAGGAAATTACAATACTTACAAATTAAAGACATGGCATATCTTTCCATTTTTCAGACCTTTTCAAATGGACGGTTGAGTTTTAGATTTTACTCAGAAAGGTCATTGTTAGGTTATTTCCTGCATAAGTTATAGTTTTGAGAATGGAGATTATAATGGAGATTGATAAAGACTAATAATTTTTAAAAACTGACTAAGTATTCACCATCTTTGTTGACATCTCTTAAACTAAAATGTTTATCTCCTGACTAAATCTGCCTGTTAACCTTTTTTCTTTCCTTTTGTTTTTTCCTTGACTTCCTAACTTGGCCAGAAACTCCAATATATAAAAAATTAATAGTTAACTATTGTCCAGCTATAACAGTGAAAGCAGGATGCATCTGAATCTTCTTTTTAAATCACATTATGTGATCCTTGACAGTTTTCACATAGCTTCTTTACTTGTCTTACTATATCCATTTTACAGATACCCCAAAAGGAGAGAGAATAGATATTGGCCCATTTTATAAATTAGACTTGGTATGGTTGGGTTTGGGAGAATCACATAACTAGAAAAGAACAAAATTTATATTTATAGTACGTCTTTTATGCTTCAAATTTTCTTACTATGGCAAATGAATTTATATGTTGGTCAAGATATACATGATTTAATCCAATAATATGCAGAATGAATTTTAAACTTCATACCACCCTGAAAAAGATGATCTGATATAACTTTACCTTTTTATCATTGCTATTTGTTTTCTTTGTTTGAGAAAAAGTTTTGCTATGTTACCCTGGCTGGTCTCAAACTCCTAACTCAAGCAATCCTTCTGTCTCAGACTCCTAAGAAACTGGAACTACAGCTCTGTGCCACTGTGCCCAGCTAATCCTGTTATTCTTAAAGAAAATTATACCAGCTAATATTATCAGTTCTGATTAGAACTTTAGAGCTCATATGAATTAGAATTGTAATTCTATTAAGAACTTGACCTTGCCAGGCATGGTGATCCATGCCTGTAATCCTAGCACGCAGGAGGCGGAAGTAGAAGGATCATTTCAAATTTGAGGCCAGCCTGAACTACATAGCAAGACCTTGTCCAAAAAAAAGAAGAAGAAGAAGAAAAGAAAAGAACTTAAGCTTATCCAGTGACAAAACAATCAGTTAATTTGGTCAGTTTAGGTAAATGGGCCATTCCTATGAGAGGGAAGGGACCTGGATATGAGTTATTCATAGATTTTATTGACACTGCCAGTGCAGCTACAACTTCTATTTAGTTGGACTTATTTAAACATTCAAAAGCTACAGTTAAAATAATAATGCTAGTCCACTGTTTTCAGAAGGAAAACTATGGAAAGCAAATTATTAGTTACTCAAAAATGCCCTATTGGGAAATGACAGACCTGTGAACAGAAATCATAAAGTAAGCCCCAGCTTGGTCTACCAGTCGTCTGTGATCAAGCCCCGTGATTCACCTGTGGAAATCATTGCCTTTGGAGTTCGTTTAATGACACCTCCACAGACACACAAGCCTCCTCAAGTGGGACAGTCCGCAGATACACAGATGATTCCCATCACCCCTAAAAAGACGCTCCATCAGGAAGCAATTCTATTTGTCTTTTCACTCAAGGAAAGTGTTGGGAGCTGTCCTCTCTGAGTGCTGCTGCAACTTGGGATATACACATTATGCTGACTTTCATGGGCACCAGGCTAAAAGAGCAGGAAAGCACACGTAACAATGCAAATGTGTTCAAATAAGAGAATCAAAATACTTCAGAACAGGAAACCAGAAAGAGGTATCCTTTCTTAAATCCATCTTTGAATCTTGAGAAATAAACTACAATAACACAATGAAGCAGAAGGCTTGTATAACTGCAGAAAAAAGAATAAGGGAAAGAAATTGTTCCAAATCCATCATATTTATTAGAACTACTGATTTCCTTTGAAATGGCCACATGGTTTAGTATGAAATTTACTGTGAGCCAGCTACCAAGAATATTTTTTATGGGAAATAAGGATTGTTGGGAAGAATATAGATTCTATTTTAAAGCCCCAAAATTATAAAATGGAGTTTCTAACAAATGAAAGAAAAAAAATTGACTCCAGAACAGAAGCATCAGGGAGACAGTGATTTCTATTTAATCTTTTACTAGAAAAAGGAAAAAAAAAATCACTTTAACTGACACTAACACAGTTTTCTATGGAAGAATATAACATTACAGGTAATAATGCAATGACTGTGCTGTCTTCTTTAGCGCGGGCATGCTTGCTAAATTCATGAACTTGTACAAGTTTATATTTGGTCAACTGCTGTCCCCACACCTGTTCATTTAGGCATTAGAACTAAGCACTTGTAAAGCAAATGAATATATCTGTACAGCAATGGATAAAAATAAACTGGATTATTTTTGTAACCCTATCAAAATGATCTGACCAAATAGAAGTTCTTATTTCATGAGATAAACTAGTCAAATTAGATGTTTCCTCACGTTTTATGATGCATTTATCTTTTTCCGTGTGTATAAAATAGCCGACCTCCATTCCAGGAGAATGAGTGGCAACCAAATTTAATGCTATTTGCCTAGGGGTCAAATACTAGTTTTATTGCCTCTGATGCAAAGCTTCTGAATATGTTACTGTCACATAAGAGACCAAGCCTTGGTACATGACTGAGGAGGAACGTTTGATTCAGTGGCTGCTGCATATGCTTCATGAGATAAAACTTGTAATCTGAAAATTCAAACTCGGAAAGGCTCCCAAATCTGAAACTTTTTGAGCACTAATATGAAAATTCCACACTATGAAACTTTTGTTTCCTGCTCAAAATTATTAAAAATTGTATAAAATTATCTTCAGGCTACTGCAAAATATGTATATGAAACATACATAAATTTTATGTTTACATTTGGGTCTCATCCCTGAGATATCTCTATGAAAATGCAAATATTCCAAAATCCCCAAAAATAAAAAATACAGAACACTTTTGGTCCCGAGCATTTCAAATAAGGAATGCTTAACCTGTATTTCAATGTTGTTCAACTCTTTGAGAATAAAGTTCAAGTAGAAGTTGAATAAGTCAG